AAAAAACTTGTTAAACTTAACGATTAGGCTCTGGCCAAACAATGGATATGCAAAGAAGGGTGTCAGAGCTGGAAAACCACTTTGATCAAGTTTATCTGCAGGGAGTGCAGAATGGAAAATCCCCAAACAGGAGAACAAAGGGACAGAGGTGATAGAGCAGGGGCTAAAAAAGACTAAAGGAAATGTGGGGCAAGAGAGAGGTACAGAGGGGCATGTTTTCATAGCAGAGGGGACTGTTTTTGATTGAGGTATCAGCTGAGAAAAAAAGAAGCTGGCTGCAGGAGACAAACTCACTCTATTATTTCTAGAAGCTACATACAGGAGTGGGGTCCTGGACTCTGTCCAAATCGCAAAGAATGCTCAAGAGTGGTGAGGAAACTGAGGCAGGGAAGGGCATATAAGTGGTTTATGATTTTGTCTAGATCTGTATATCTCATGCCATCCAAAGTAAACAATAATTATGTTAGAAAACTTTACAAAGCCTGTGTGTTATGTGCTTCAACTATCATGTGTTACTGAAGAGATAAACTGTAAACCAGAGGGCCCGCAAGGCTGGAGCTCTGGGAAAGAGTGTGCCTAAACGACTGGGGTTTCTTCGCGGAGAGGGAGAAAACAGGTCAGCACTGCTCCTGGGGGCCTCGGGCTGCTGAACCATGAGGTTCCACTTCCGTGAAGGGGTAACAGAGTCTGTGCCCAGGAAGTGTGTCAGCGGTCAAAGACAGTGCTGGACCCTACTCAGATCAAGGGAAGTTTAAGAGCACATGGGTCCTGTGTAGTGGGGCCCACAAACAGCAGCCTACTGAGTATCCTGCAAGGGGAGATTTACAGGGCTGATATACTTGGCTTGGGACATTTGCCCATTTCCTGGAAAAGGAAATCTCCATTTTAAAATAACTTAGAAAATTAAAACATTTCTCAATAGTCAAGAGATTGAGAGAAAAATTGTGTTGGTTACAAAACTGGAAGGTGCAGGGTTATCCGTCGTGATTCACTGAGGAATGTGGTTGTAAGAAGCTACAAAGGCAGTCTGGCAGGGAATAAGGAAGAACAGTTTTTACATTTTAAAGTGAAAACTGACACAGCTTCATTTGGTACAGCATCTTTCAGACAGCCTGCAAAACACTCTGCAGAGTTAAATAACAATCAGACTGATGCTTGTTCCATGTGATTCTCAATAAGGTAGAACTCTCTGTGACGTTCCATAATGTTTTATGGAAATATGGTAATGAGTGTGAATATGATGTAACTGGAATATACTTTATGCAAAAGGTCTCTTGTATCATTACAAAGCTTATAATCTACTGAGTGAGTTCATCCTATTTGTATGCACGTATCATTCTGGTATCTGAAGCTGGAAATATGAAGTATAACTCTGAGGTCCTAGTGTAACTATGCAAAGTGTGGGCCATTAATGGTGGTTTAGAATCTTGATGGCTCCCATTGACTAGGACAATTGGTTGTAGATAATTTATTTACCTTCAAGCCTTCCTGTGGAGGTGTGGGCCAGCCTGTGGGTAATGAAGAATAAGGTCTTACTGTGACATGTGACCATGTCACATGATACTGGAATCCATCTTAAATCTGGTACTTTTCCATTTAGAAGGAGGAGTGGGGACAAAAGATTCTCACCTTGTGTCAAAGTTATAAAAGGGGGGTGGAACAGAACAAAGGGGGCTGCCAGTCATGAGAACACCCCTAGTTTCCACCTAAGATGTCTGCTGGAACTAACAAGGACTGTGCCAAGGGAAAGGATTGGGCCCAGACTAGGAAGGAGTCTAGTCTGTGAAAGAAGCTTATTGGAACATCGCTGAGGGTGAGATTTTACCTGTAAACAGTTTCTTAATGTATTAGGCTTAGACTTGCGTGTTTTGCTTTATTTTACTTGGTGACTTACTTTGTTCTATTACTTGAAACCACTTAAATCCTACTTTTTATTCTTAATAAAATCACTTTTGTTTATTTTTGAACCCAGAGTAAGTGATTAATACCTGGGTGAGCAGACAGCTCTGCATATCTCTCTATTAGTGATATAGAGGGCAAACAATTTATGAGTTTACCCTGTATAAGATTTATACAGAGTAAAATGGATTTATTTGAGGTTTGGATCCCATTGGAAGCTGGGTGTCTGGGTGCTGGAGATAGGTGACCTGCTGAGCAGTTTTTGGTTAAAGTCTGCAGCTTTGGGGGCATGGACCAGACCTGGGTCTGTGTTGCAGCAGGCTAGCGTGTCTGGCACAACAAGACAGGGTTCTGGAGTCTCAAACTGGCAGGGAAAACGGGCTCAGAGGTAATTCCAGCACGTCAGGTGACAGTCCCAAGGGGGTATCTGTGACCGAACCCGTCACTCCCTCCATTTGGATCTTCCCTGTTGCGCATTGAAAGGGTGTGTGTGTGTGGGGGGGGGGAGAATGGCTAGCTGCCTCTACTACACTATTCTTCCCTGCTCTCTGTGATATTAGGGATCACACCCCACAGCACACAGTCCCCTCACACAGATATTAGAGGGGTTTACTGGGCCACCTATTACAGAGTGAAATAAAAAATAATTGTAAACAGAGAATGTGGCAATGGAAAATAGTTACAGTATGTTCACAAAAATAAATATCCAGCAACAAAAGTTCATCTGAATTTAGAGCCCGGCAAATCTGAAGATATCCGCTTTATATCCATGGATATTTGCATCATGTTTGCGGATATCCGCAAACATGGTCTGCAGATCGGATGCAGATACAAATTTTGTATCCATGCATGGCTCTATCTTCATTCAAAGTATTTTATAAAATGAAAGATAATAAAAACCTAGTGCAGACCAGCTGTCTCCTGCCAACTCTTATTTTCATAGCGATACTATGTCCTTCTTCCTTATCCCAATACAAATTTGATATTTAGTTGATAGTTTTTAAAAACACATTACCAGGTGGTTTAGGTTAGGAGGTTTTATAAAACCTAAAATTAATGGAAATTTTTCATGAATTAAACTGAATTTTGTTTGGAATTAAACATTTCCCTAGTGTGTGGCAACCCCGCCCCGGCACTGAAGCACTGTGCTTTTTGCATGACAGCAGGAAAAGTAAAACTGACTAAAAACAGTGAAAGTGACTAGTTTAATTCACCATACAAGATGCTAGAGGCAACAAAGAAACAAACTCATATTTAAAATTCTTCCAACCTTAATAATTTAAAGTGTAATCAAGATGAATAAAACAAAATCTTAGTTTTAAGGTGACAGTGTCCCTTTAAATCCCCAAAGAAATTTCCATATGGAAGTAGGCTGAGAAACATGAGTTAAGCAGGAAATACACACTTAGAATGGGTGTGCCTGACCTAATTCTATACTACATAACAATTTAGAACAGGAATGTATGTGTACTCTAATTGCACGTCTTTCTAAAGGTTTATCCTTGCTGTAATTTCCTAAGACACATCCTGAGAACATGCCAAAATGAAAGGAAGCTGCACATTTGGCTATGCCTTTACAATTCCTAGTTTGGAGAGTAAAAGGGAGATTGCACGAGAGGTTAAGATGAATGAGAAAAAATATAGAAGGAACAGCATGTCGCAAGAATTGGTATTGAGGCCACTTTTGTGGATTTTGTATCTCTACCTAGGGAGGAAGCAGTAAACACGACGGAACTGGTTTCTGAGGTGACACCGGGGGAAGCCCGTACCCCTTGAGCCTCTGCTCAGCAGCCAGGCACAACTGCAGTCCGTGAAGCAGTGGTGAGCACAGCTGGCTAACTACACAGGCGGGTGGAGATTTGGTGTATAGTGCACCCCCTGAAGGGGTGTAGCAGTGCTCCCCCTGTGTGTTGGAGAACTATGGCAAGGAATTCTTCCCTGAGGTCTCCAGGGGTCAATGTGGCTTCAGCACAAGGCTATGCCTATATATAGCACAATTGGGACCAAAGGGAAGAGGGTGATAACAGTTAGCATCACTTAAGACTGAGGGGCTGTGGCAGATAAATGATTTCTGTAACTCGTGGGAGAGAAAGGCAAAAGAACAAGAAGGAATATATCCTCAAGCTACAAAACAACAGGCCCGAGAAAGACCTGGATGGGAAGGAGAGGATAAAATGGAACTCCAAACCCAGGGTCTGACAGCAGGACAAAATAGACAGTTCCAGCGTGTATAGCAGAACCTCATGAATGGCGGGGAGTCTCAGTGAGGAACCGTGAAGTTTATGGACCACTCCAGAGAGGGCCAAGAGTGGGGGAACAAGCCCCACTGGCTGATTGTAAGTGCCCTACCTCTGATTTCAGTGGGTTACAGAGAGGTGTGGTGCAGCCTGGGGTTACACGTTCCTCCCCCATTTGACAGTGGCGAATAGGTCATCACCCACATCAGCCCTGCCCCCAGTTGTGCTGATCTGTGCTTCAATAAACTGCTAGCCCAACAACTCCTTTTTGATATGGATTATTTGGCTGTACTGCAGAAACAGATTTTTCTTGGAGAAAGATGGGATTCAGAAAACTGTGATGAAAAACCAGGAAAGTGGAATTAAAACAGGGGGACCTAAAATTTGCTATTTAAAAGGCCATCTTGGCAACCTGTCAGCAGCCCAATTTCTGCACTCATTTTCACAAAATTGTTAGTCAAAAAATGAGCACAGCACAACCATAACATATGCTCATATCTTCCTTGAGAGGGAGATAGAAATTGCTTGTCATAGAATCATAGAATATCAGGGTTGAAAGGAACCTCAGGAGGTCAAATAGTCCAACCCCCTGCTCAAAGCAGGACCAATCCCCAGACAGATTTTTGCCCCCAGATCCCTAAATGGCCCCCTCAAGGATTGAACTCACAACCCTGGGTTTAGCAGGCCAATGCTTAAACACTGAGCTATCCCTCCCCTTCATCAACTTTGTCTTCTGAGCCTGCAGTTATAGGGAAATAATTCCAGATCGTTGTACAGAATAAAATCATAATATGATCTAAAAAAAAATTTTTTACACACGCACAGCTCCATTAGAGGGGAATAGCAGATCAGGGGCCCGGTTCTGATCTCACACCAATGTCAAAAAGACGGAACTCCACTGAAACCAATGGAGTTCAACTGATGTAAATTAGATCAGAATCAAACTTCTGGAGTTTTGGCTGGTTAAAATTATTAGACTCCCCATATATCATATCATATCATATCATATCATATATCTAGTAGCTAAAATATAGGAAACTGGAGGTACCACCAGACTGCATTGGTTCTCAGGCTGCACCTTGGGTGCCCCTGGAGTCATAACAAACAAAATGGAGTTGGTGCAGAGGGGTTTCAGTGGGCTTGGGAGAAATCGAAACCTGCTATATTGTTTCTGCTCCTTACTTTTTCTGAACTTCCCTCTTTTTGGTCTGCTTTGCTCCTTTCTGTGCTCCACGATGGAGAGCCTTTCTAAAAATAATAATTATACATGATACATATGAAAACTACATTAGCAAAACAAATTTTCACCGTAAATTGTATCAAACTAATAAAGAGGGAGAAACGGCTGCTTTTCTATTTATCATACATAAAGGCTAGTCAGAATAAACATGAACCTAGCATTCTTTATCCACTCAAGCATAAAAGTGAGTCCATGCTTCCATGTTCAGTGTCAATAATATATGGTTTTTAATAGAGGAGGGAGGTTTTTGTCTTGCAGGAACACCATATTATGCAGTGTGTAAATCACACTGATTCTCTGCCTGTAGTCAGTAAGTGGAGCTATCATTAAACAGAAAAAACTAATTGCCTCTCAAATACATTCAGCAAAAAAGTGACTTGTTACAAATCTGAAGCTACTGTTACTGAAATTTCTGCACAATTAGTGCACACAATAACATTGATGTTTGATCTTTTATATTTTCAGTCCCATATTTTTATTGCCAACTGTTATTCCCAATATTTAATATGTAATTACTTCAAATATTCACTATTTAAAAACAATTAACTTCTTTCAATAATTAAAAAAAATTGCAGAACCACTACATAACCTTTTGCCTTCGATATGCCTACCCTGTAATGCTGCCCTTTTCCATTTTTAGCCTTGTTATGAACATTACACAATCATAAATTACACAATACCCTCTCTAGAATGCTTCGTAATTCTGGACAACAAATTCTTACACATGTGAGCTATGTGAAGGAATTTTATTTTGCTTTGTGACCTACAACGTCTTTGACTTCTGCTTTCAAACTGTATTCCTTATTTTCAGCTAAGTTCCACAGTCTGAACAGTTTCAGATCCACAGGGTCTTCTGGTCACTAAACAATTGTTAAATGTTTATAAACGTTTAGGAAATTCTCAGACAAAAAACTTTGTTAATACTACATACTTTAACAGTATGACGATTCAAAATTAAAATCAACCAAAAAAGAAGATGGAAATATTTGGGACATGTGTTAAGAATAAGGCCAGAGCATCTGCAGTTGTGCCATTGGGCAGCTGGAAGAACACCCAAAAGGGGCCAGTCAAAAGAATCCCTCTGTCACCTGCTACGGAGAGAGGGAAAACTTAGGTGACTTAATAGAGAACATGCAATGAGCAGCCAGGATAGACAGTGATGGCAGCACCCTGTTTGTGCCATAAGCAATATCTGACAGCATGAGAAGGATTCAGATTCAGGCATATTGCCGGGCATTGTTGGGGCTGGTGGATTTTTTTCTTTAAATAGAGGATTTTTCACATTTTTGTGGAACGCTGTGATAGTACAGTACTTCACATTAAGTGAATCTCTCTATCATGTGCAGATCTCTACACACAAGCAGAACAGCAGCGGCATAGCCCTTGCTTCTTAATTCCTTCTCTTTTGAACTAACGACAGAAGTTACCCCAAGTGTCCTGTAGATAGGCATATACTACAAAGTGCAATGTTTAATTCTCTGTGGAATCTTTTATGGTGACTGACAGGTTGCTTTGTTTTAATAAGTACAGTAGGCTAATGAGCATATTGGGTGTGAACTTTAGGAGATATATATACATACATACACATACACATACACATACACACACACACATATACATATATATATATATATATTAATTTAGATCAAGGAACAGTAGATCCAACACATGTACAAACTGCAAATTATTAGTTACGACCCTGATCATGACAGCCAAAAATTATCTGGAGCACATTTTTATGTACAAAACATTGCACATCCTCCTCTTCTCTCATAATTCATGCAATCAGATCTGAAGCAACCAAAAAAGATACATCTCAAATATATCTTGATACTACAATGACTCTTTTTACAGATTTTTTCAGATACACGCTAGATGGCACATTGAAATTTCTCTTTTACTACACTCACAATCACAACCAGGTAATAAAAGGGCACTTTTACAGTATGAAGCAGCATGCACACACAATACAAAATGACTTTCCTTTTTTATGAAAGAGCTCTATTAATACACAGTGGATTCATTTTGCCAACAGTGTTAGAATTATAGAAGGAAAGAATGTCCACCAGGATTGATGCAATTCAGTAAATCCCAAAAATTCTGGCAACAGACTTTACATTTTAAAGTCTGATGAAATGCCTGATTGTTTCCCTCTATCCTGTGCATAGTACTTTACTGTTAGCAAAGTTTACTGCATTTCTCATTTATTTGAGTCCTAATAGAAATTCACTGTTTCTACAAATGTAATCTGAAACTATGGTCTGGAATATGGCTTTAGTGGTTTAACACAGCACGGCCACACCATGATTTAAGGGCCAGTTTTACCTTTAACACTGAAACACCCCGTTCTCCCACTGATGGTTGGATGATTTACACACAAAACTATTATTATTAATGGGAGTTACATCAATTCTCTACAGAAACAGAGGGAACAGACTTTTCAGCGTTTTCTTGGCAACACATGATCAGCAGGAGGACTTAACACACAATGAAAATTAACTGGGACTTATCTAATTGTATAGAACTAATTATGCTTTCAGGAGTGCTTGGGAAAAGAGTGAGCAGAGAGCAGTGAGAGGGGAGAAGATGATGGGGAGCTGGTACTCCTGGCATGCCACAAAGCAGGGAGAACTGAAAGCAGTGGGAGGAAGGGGAGGGTGCATGGAAGATTAGTACTAGAGGGAATCAGGGAAGGTCGGTACAGTGGAAGGAAGAGGAGGGAGGGAGCCAGGAATAGGAGCTCCTGGGAACTAGTAGTGGTGTGGGCTGGGGGAGTGGGAGACTGGGAATGGGGAAAAGCGGGTGGAGGGCCCAGCATTGGTGCTGTAGGTTGTGGAGGCGATCCAGGTTACCTGGGAGTGGGGAACACTGGGGATATTGGGAGGGAAAAGGCTGGAGAGTGCAGGGAGAGTCCGATAAGAACGAGAAGGGAAGGTTTCAGGAAGGCAGAGATTCGGGGCACACCACTGAGACTGCTTTTGCCAAAGTCTCCAGTGATCTCTCCCTAGCCAAAGTTCAGAACCAGTACTCCATCCTCTTCCTCCTTGACGCCACTGACTGTGTTGTTCTTGAAATCTTGTCTTCCCTTGTCCTCTCCTGGTTCTCCTCCTAGCTCTCTAATCATTCCTTCACCATGTCCCTAGGAGGATCCTCCTCGACCCCCGCTCCAGCTTTCTATAGGGGTTCCATAGGGCTGTGTCCTTGGCCCCCTTATCTCTGGGCAATCTCATCAACAAACCAATTCAACTACCTCCCTATGCTGATGACTCACAGCTCTACCACCCCACTCCAGACTTGTTACCTAATGTCCAGATTAAAATCTCAGCCTGCCTCTCTGCCATTTCCTCGTGGATATTTCCCCCAAGCCTTCCACCCTACCCCCCTTTTTCAATCACTGTGGGCAGCACCACAATCCTGCCTGTTTCTCAGGCCCATAAGCTGAGCATTGTCCTGAACATCGACCTCTCTGTAGGTCCTCTTATACAGGCTATGATTACAGCTTGCATTTTCTTTCTGTATAATGTAGCTAAAGTACAGCCTTTCCTAGCCATCCACGCAGCTAAACTCTCCTGTCTCAATTACTGCAACCTTGTTTTCTCTGGCCTTGGCAAATGCAGTGCACTGCTCGCTATCTATTCAGAATGCTGCTGAAGCAGGAAACAACCTCAAAGCTACCTCATTATCCTCAAACATGACCTATGAGGAAAGGATGAAAGAAACTGGCATGTTTAGTTTTGATAAACGAAGACTGAAGGTGGGGAATGATCACAGTCTTCAAATATGTTAAGGGCTGTTAGAAAGAGGTCGCTGATCAATTGTTCTCCATGTTCACTGAAGGCAGGACAAGGAGTAGTGGCTTAATCTACAGCAAGGGAGATTTAGCTTAGATATTAGGAAAAACTTTCTAACTATAAACATAGTTAAGCTCTGGAACAGGCTTCCACCAGAGGTTGTGGAATCCCCATCACTGGAAGTTTTTAAGAATAAGTTGGACAAACACCGGTCAGGGCTGGTCTAGGTTTACTTGGTCCTGCCTCAGTGTTGGGGATGGACTAGATGACCTCCCAAGGTCCCTTCCAGCCCCTGCCTTTCTATGATTACTGTGAACTTTTCCAAAACAAGCACACCACAGGATCACAGATATTGCCAAACTAGAACAGACTAAGCTCCATCTGGACGTCTGACAGTGATCTATACCGGATGCCCCCCAAAATGCCTCAGTAACACACCTGGTCAATATCCTGCGACACACATTTACCTCTGCCCAAGAACTGAGTGTGCTACCAATGATGCGTGGAGGGGTGCAGGGGCAACAGCATATGAAGGCTATTTCCATTGTTTAAATTATTTGGGGATTAATCCTTTGAGAAATGTTTGCTCTTAAGCCTGACCCTTGTAAAGAGCATCTACATACCACAGGAATGGGAGTTTCATAAATGCTTGTAACAATCACTATGTGAAATAATTATCTTTTAAATAAATTAGCACGTAAAGTTAGCCTCATCACTTCAGAAAGTGATACCTCTTTCCCAACCAGACGGAAAAGGTACCTGGGTTATTATTAGATTAGAGGAAAGGACCAGTGAAAATGAAGCTGCTCCAAATGTAAGAGTTTTGGCCATATTTTGACACAATTTTGCTTTCACATATACAGTCATGGGTGTAAGTGAGGTCAGAAATACAACCAGGGACTTTAATTAACAATCCTATACCTTTATATTACTGGATAAACCTAAAAACCCTCACATCAAAGCTTTTTACTAAAGGATCATGAGGGGATCAATAACATGGCGTTTTATCCTGAGTTCTGTGATCCACCTATTTTATAACAGAACTATTTACATGGCCTACAGAAAAACTCAAGTTATACTTCAACATAGCATAAAGCAGGATTTTTTAAAATCCCTTTATATTTTAAAATGGTATTAGTAACCATCGGCACCTAATATGTTTCAGTTCATAAAAATATCTTAGTCTTCAGGGTGAGATTTTAAATTAACATTTCGGGGAAACCCCTTCTTTATATGATCTCTATGAAAAACTCCAGAACAGCAGCAGCCTATTTTTGAAAAAGTCGTGTATTCTAGCCTCTAACTGCAGCATTTAAAACTGTAAAACAACAGAAAGAAATATGCATGATTCTAATTCTAACCTTAGAGTAAAACTCTCATACAAACACTCATTATGACAGACAAATGAAATATACCCAAATTACTTACTGTCAGTTCATATGTTCCTGGTAGCTCTATGCAGTCTGAAATCCACCTTTAAAAAAAGGAAAAAGCTAAGTCATAAAGAAGCTCCAGAGTTTAAACTGTTTATGCTGCAGCGACAAATGCTCCTCCCCTAAAACCCAGATGTCTGATTCATGTTAATATTTCAAAATAAAAGTCCTTGCCCAGCATATATGAGAGAGAGAGAAGACACACACACACCAGAGGGGGAGAGAGAGAGACAGAATGTTTGCATATGCAAGAATATGTACATTTAGTTTAAATATGGCCAGATAGCTAAGAAATAACATTCTTTCAAGCTTGACGTTTTAAAACATTCTCTTGGACACCTGTTTTATGCTGGTTTTCCACTAGTAGCCGGGCAGGAAAGATGCAGCTCCTGATCCCCTAGGGTTAGGTTTTCAATTTCACTTTACAACATACCCTAGTCAACTCTCCCACTACAAATGCTAAATCCAGATATTAAGGAATTAAGAGTCAAATTTTGAAGAGGGCAGAATCATGCAGTCGCACACACACATGCAATGATGTATCCTGGGCCTTTTCATTGACTCCACTGGATTTGGATAATGGTTCCAATATGCATGCACAATTACTGTGGATAAATCAGACAGTTGCATGTGCAAATGACAATTTAGACACCGAGCAAGAGAGCTACAAATACCTGATTCACACACACACCAGTGGTACCTGCACACAGAATTGCATAGGCATTACTGCATGTGGTTCTGAAATTCTACCCTTTAGAAGATCAGGCCCTAAATCAAAAACTTCTGTTGTTCCTAGATACTTTCATATAAGACACATTACTGGATTTCTCAGAAAGAATCAAATGCAAATATCATTGACAAGAACAACAGAACCGATCTTTTACTGCTAAAACTAATGGTAAAATATTTGCATTTCAATACAATATTATAAGATGTGAAGATGTTCTGACTATCAGTGGTAAAGCACATGGCTATTCTGTCAGGAAAATTTTAAATCTGAATGCACTATTAAACACACACTAGATATATGATTCAATTTAATTAAAAAAAATCTTATCTAAAAAAATCAAAATAAATGTCTGACGTAAAATCTAGCTGATTGTCATTAACTTACTAACCCCATTTTCGTAATGTGCTTTGAATTGCATTGTAAACATTAAGTAGTATTTTTGTTTTGGGAACAAATTGTGCAGTCCCTATAAAGGACTAATCAATCGGGGGAAGTTTTTAAAATGTGAAAGGTGCAAGTCAAGGAGTATAACTTTATTTTAGGCAATTCAAGTTTTATGATGTCTATAATCACAGTCACCTTGAAGAAGCAAGGACTATAATTATGACTATTTGATATCAGATCATTGCTATTACAGTACTATTAATGTACAGCTGCTTTCAGAGTTTGTACATGTATGTATTTAGTGCAAACTGTAACATGCACACATATTTGCACAGTACAACTAAAACAGGACTCTTCCTCTCACACCAGGGATAACCAGAAGTGACTCCATTGAAGTCAATGAGTTACACCTGTGTGAAACAGTGTAAATAAAGACAGATCAGGACCAATGTATTAACAATTTGCAGCATGTTAAAATATTTTTAATATCCACATTATTTTTATGTATCTGTCATATGAGAAAAATCTCTAAAGACAACCTTAAAAAAATCCTAATTTCTTCTCATCACTCACTGAGATTTTTGGTTTCCTATGAAGTGTCCTTCCATGGGTCCCCCACAGATTCAGCATACATCAATTACTCGCCTAGACTCTTATTTTAAAAAGATTGTGATCGGTTTAAAACTCCACCTTCTCTCCTTGGAAGGAATCCCAATAAGTAACTGCTAACTCATTCCTGTCTCATCTGCTAGTCTCTAACTGCCACTGTTTTTTAACCAACTACGTGAGAAAAACAAAAATAAAAAGGCAGATTCTAGAAAGCTCTGTCAAAGTTAATGCAGCTATTAATTGTAGAAACCCCTTGTGACCCTGGAGCATAGTTAGATTTCTTGAAAGCAAGCGAGGGAAATACCATATTGCGTAACTGAAATGTTTCTGAAATCAAAGGCTTTGTAACTTGAAAAACAAGGGCTTCTGAATGAGTAGAGGAAAAGTTCTGAGTGTAAAAGGATAAAGCAGTCACTAGAGTGGGCACTCTAGGAATAACCAGCTGAATCAAGTGAATGGCAAAGTGACACAGTTATAAAAAGCAAAAAGAATGTAGAGTCTATTTAAAAAAGTATGGGTAGTGTTGACAAACTGTAAGTAATATTTTGTTTACTCTTGTACGAGATGACCACAACTGTTTTATTTAGCACAATTTCAGCTGTCACAGGGAAACATCACATGTTTTGCTGATTTATTTTTCTGGGGCTACAGCCTCAGCTGGGGTAAATCTGCATAGCTCCAATCAATGGTGTTAAGCCAATTTGCAACAGCCGAGGATTTGGCCCTTTGTTTTTAATAGCTGGAAATGTTTTGCTCCCTGTTTCATAATAGCTAAGCTTTACTACAGTGCACTGGCAACAGACCTCTTGCTTTGTTTACGTGACTAAATGAACATTTCACATAGCACACTTATAAATAATATATACTTTCTAGGAATATTTCCATAACATCCTTATTTATAGGACTAATAAATATCCTCTCATGTAAAAATATTTAGTTAGCATAACTGTTTTTAGCAAAATCTATTTGGAAATCTGTTGTTGGAAATCCACAAAGACTGAGAATTGTGCAAAAACCAAACCCGAGAAATCCAAGATGATACCTACTCCAACACGCATAAATAGGTGCCTATATAAAGTGACAACTAAGTGGGTGCCCACAGAGGTTTCTCAATACTGTTGTTCTTGAAACTAAAAGTTGCTAAATTCTAGTGTACTCCGGAACACAACACAATCCATTTAAGCTAACTTTAAATTTATCTGATTTGACAATGTTCATTTTATGCCAATTTTTGGGTCCAAATTAAGGCCTGTTTTGTGAGTCCTTACCTCACAGAGGAAGGATGAAAGTAAAATCTGATCTTTAAAACCTCTTGCCTTATAAGGAAAGCTGCACCATTCTGCTCAGCAGTCTGATGGGTTCACATGTTGAGAAGCACATCTGGTGTATAAGCCGGGACACCTATGTAAAAGATTTAATTTAAAATAGGTTTTACTGAGGGAACTGAATAGCCCAGGAGATTAGTAATGTATATAATCTCTCTTTACTCCACAATTACAGATTTTAATCCTGGCCAGGCTAGTAATGCCAAAAATTGTTGCCATCTAATGGCTGTTTTGTGGCTTGTGTGAAATCAGTGTGATGTTCTCAGGCCAGTTACTAACTAGACGAACGTCCACATTTGTCACCACCACTACCTGGCCTTCTTGTTGGCAGCCTCGACAGAGAGACCGAGGCCTAAATGGGCAAGAAGCCTAAACACCCTCTCACTGCTAGCGGTGGACAGTCCCTCCCATTTAGAGTTGAGGTGCATTGGTAGAGAAGCACGATGGAGTTGGCATGGTAATTGTCAAAGCTTCACTTGTTCTGTGGATAAATGGAGGATTTCAATCCAACAGCTGTCAATCTGGTGTTTTGCAGCAGCACTAAATTCACAAAAACATTTTTTTTTAAAGTTATTTCTCATCCTGCTAGAGGTGGCAGTCATCCTAATGAAAAGTAACATCAAGTGGCACGGGTACTCATTGTAAGACTCGGGAGATATATGACTATATATATATATATATCTTGCATTAATAACGGTTTAACCTCGGTAGAATAAAAAAAACACCCTATCCTTTTAATATTAATACAGTGCTTCCTGAAGTAGTTTGAAATTGTTTAAAACAGTTCTGGGATAAAATGCTTTACAAGACTATACAAATGCTAAGCCATATTAAAATCCGTTTTAGAAACCATGGTCAAGATTGGGTAGCGATAGTCTCAAACACGGCTTTTTAAAATGGTTTTTAACATGTCTGATCTCTCCAAACAACATTTCATAATAGCAGCAAGAGACAGTTTGGGATACCATTTACATATGTTCCCCACCTGCCCAATATAGTGCCTGGTAGCATACATAAATACATGTATGGTCAATATTTTGCTCCACTAGTAAAGCATGAGAATGAATGGCCTTGAATCACACTGACGATACACAAAGATTTTAAGCACTTTTGTACTACCTGCTTATACCACAGATATGCAGTATCAGGAGGAAAAAAGCTAAAACCTGTCTAGCTCAAATCCACCGAAACATTGCACTAATTAACAGACCGTACGAATGGATCCATTAGAAATTTGGTGGATTAGTGAAACTGACCTTGTGTAAGGAAACTGTTCCACTTGACGGTCAGAGAAATTTTGAACAGTTTGTCTACTATAAAACTAAAACTTTCAACAAATTTATATTGAACCATCTGTGATCTGAAGATCACTGAATCAGCTAATGATTCTCATCACTGGTCACTAGGGCTGTCTGAAGGGAAGGGGAAGAGTGCAGGGACTAAAAAAAATGCAATGAATAGCAATTAGAAAATGCCCTTCAGGGGAAAAATACTGTACACATATACTGATAACATTGAAACTACAGATGAATTGAGACATTAACATTCTGTACCTACAACAGCATAGTAGATGAACATGTACTATAATTTAAATCATGATCAGTTTATCCAGTTTCCACTATAAAACAAACGAAGCTACCATACGGGATTACAAGCTCTAGGCATACACTGAATTAAATCAATGACACAAGCTCTTTCAAAAGCAAAGTGTGGCTCAAAACATATGTAACAAAATATGACGCGTTTTTACCTTGTCGGTCTAAAATGCCTTTGATACTGTGAGCTTCTGTCTCTTGAGTCTGTATTGCAATCGAAGTCACTCGCCTGATGAAGACCAGTCATCCCAATGAGCATTAGACTACAGAAAGTTTTCAAATGTGTGCCAAACTGTTAATATCAGTGGATCAGGGGAACTCATTCATAATTATTAACTAATACTAGACTGTAGTAACCTTTCCTGTGACAGGGTGTTATATAACAACATGCTTTTAATCCACTCTCAGGCAGAACAGCGTGGAAGAACAAATCCTCCTGCTTTTAGAAAGGTTTAAGGTTCTTCATTCTCTATTTTCCTTCCCCATTTACTCTACATAAGCTGAGTTGTTCCCATTGATGGAATTACTTATGCATAACCTGGGAAACGGTTGTAAAATTTGCCCAGATAAACTGTATCTTCCTCTTCTACTAGTCATTTCCACAAAAAAGCTGCAGACATTATATTCACAGCTCAAACAAGGTTTCTCTCTTCCTGTCACTATCCCCTCCCCTTTTATTTGATCTCTTACTCCAGTTACACAATGATATCTAAATATACAGCACAAGAATAGCAGTCACAGTCAAACATGTTGTATACGGAATAAACATTTTCTTACAAATACCACTTTTAAAAATACATTCATAGAATCACAGGGTAAGAAGGGACCGCAAGGGTCATCTAGTCTAACCCTTTGCCAAGACGCAGGAGTCGTTGTGTCTAAAACATCCAAGATGGATGACTACTGTCAATGATTATTACTATAAAAATTTTGCAATAGTTAAAGGAAGCCTTTCACCAACACAAGAAAGACCACATTTTTCAAATATGGGCAGTGTTGATAGGCCATTTTGAAATTTGTCCTGGTCTCACAGCTCTTCTGGAGCTGAAGTTTAGGAAATGTGATGGGCAATTGATGATGGCAGCTGATGGACTGGACCAGCGGGCCAGGAGTTGAGAGATCTGGATTCTCCTTCTAACGCCACTGTTTGATTTGCTGTGTGTGCTGGGGCAAATCATTTAACTCTTATGCCTCAGTTATCTTGTTTGTAAAACGGGGTTAACATTGCTTACCTATTTTTCTAAAGGGCTTTGAGTTCTATGAATGAGAAATGCAAATCATCCAGCCAATCTGTCAGTCACATAATGTTGCCAGATCACTGCATACAAGAAAGACGACAAGACTCCAGCGAGAATGTACTGCACATATACCATTTCCCAGGACAATGGCCACAAGAACAGATTTCCACTGTACCATTTCATGCTCTTTCCTAATCTATCATGGGAATTAAGCATAAGGGCCCATTCTGCTATTTTTACACATGCTGAGCAGTACTTGAGTCTGCAAGTAGCCCCACTGATTTCAGTGAGACTATTCATGTAGTAAGATACTACACTCAACATTAAAATGGCAGAATCTGGTCTTGAAATTGTAGTCTCTCATTGTCTGAAAGATAATTAGAAACTGCATTATTGTTCCGTTAAACTATTAATGGCAAATTCATATGTTATGATGAATAAATCTGACTCCATACCATTGTTTAGCTACAGAACAGTTACAATCCAGGCGCAAGATACATAATTGCTTTCCCACTTCTCCCTGTCCTTAAACAGTGCTTCTCTCCCCAGTCTTTGTTTGTCTTTGTGACGATTTGGGGAATCTATGTATGACTTAGGAATTGTAGTTAATTTTATGTAATTGCTGTGTCATTGAATGCCTTAATGGCTAATGACTCAGCCATGGGTTGATGAGGTCCCTGACACAGTATTACGTACCCTGTCTGGAAGGAGCTACTGAACAAACAAAAGAAATTGTAGGGAGCATGTCTGAGCTGGAAAACAATTTTGATCAACTTTATCGGCAGGGACAGAGAAATGGAGAGTGGAAAAATCCCCAAACAGCAGAACAAAGAGACAGAGGTGACAGAGCATTGGTTTAAAAAGACTATAAGGAAACGTGGGGCAAGAGAGGAACAAAGGGGCATGCTTTCATAGCAGAGGCAACCTTTTTTAACGGCTAAACCAGCCAAGGAAGAAGGAAGCTGGCTGCATGATTCAGAGAAACCATGTGCAGGACAGTGATTCACAAGAACTCTGACCAAATCCCAAAGAACACTCAAGAGCGGTGAGAAAACTCAAGGGGAGAAATGGAGGTGTTTTATCATTTCGTCTAGATAGCTATATTGCTTGTGCCATCTAAACTAAAGAGTGATTCGTTTTGGAACCTTTTGCAAAGTTTCTGTGTTGTGTGTTCCTCAAGTGGTACACTGTAATCCAGAATGTCCACAAGGTTGGAAGCTCAGGAAAGGATGTATTTAAGCAATGCGGGTGTCTGGGGGTCGTGGTGATCACACTGGTTCTGGGGGCCGGGGCAGCTGGTCCATGAGGTCCCAGTTCTGTGAAGGGGTAACAGTGTGCGCTCAGCGAGCATGCCAGAGAAGCCAAAGAAAGAGACAATGCTGGAGCCTACCCAGTCCAAGGAAAGCTCACAGGCACATGGGTCCTGTATGGTGGGATTCAAATGCAGCAGCCTGGTGAGCATTCAGCAGGGGCCACTCAACTAGCTCTGTGATAGTCTCCTTTATCAGTGTGTCTGACTTTGTACCTTGTACAATTCAACCTTATACTCTTGCAACAAACAGCCAAAAAACCTTTACAAAGCACCCGTAGTTAGAGTGGGATATGTACATATCAAATTATTAAGTCTGTGTAGTATTAAGTGTGGAAATGTTACTTAGACCTATGACTGCAGACTCATCCAAAAACATTTAGCCTTCACCTCCCTCCCCTAGAGAAGAGAACTGTGGGGCACTTTCCAGAAAAACACAACAATAATCTTAAAAGCAAGATGTATAAATAAAACAAATTTCACTAACCTAATTGCTGTGTCTGTCACACCTTTATTCCTTTTCCACGATTTTGTTTCCTTCTCTTCTGATGTTTCACCCTATCTTTGCTTTCCTGAAAAATTAACACGCATAAATAGGCTTGGAAGGATTAGATTTATCGTAAATGTCGATAAACATCAATTTCACTGTACCCACAAACCAATGAAAAAATATTTTCAGCGATAATAATCTAAATTTACTGATAAGCAAAGTTAAAAAAAAAAAAAAACCTTGTTGCTTGAGAACATATTAGATTTTGATGCAAGGACAACATTTTGACGTGTTGTTAACACTTTGTGTTTTAACAGTTAGAAAAGCTTTAAAATGTCAAAATGATTAAAAACAAATGGAATTCTGCCAAGCCTACTTATAAATAATCATTAATCTCCTGTTGTATACTCTTCTCTTTTTTTTAAATCTTGCCCCTTCCTCTACCCATCTTTCCCTTTTTACCTCACCTTTGCCCAATCTCTTTCAAACCAACACAAAAGTTAGCTCACTTTGACCCAAGTTACAGATCTTGGTTTTGCTCCAATTCATTCCCAAGTCATAGAAGATCAGGGTTGAAAGAGACCTCAGAAGGTCATTTAGTCCAACCCCATGCTCAAAACAGGACCAACCTCAACTAAATCGTCCCAGCCACAAACCGTCCTAAAACAAAACAAACACAGAGAGAGAGGCGTGAAGGTATAATTGGACGTTAAATGTCAAAATGGCATAATATCCATAAATTTTGAGCTTTTACTTGTACAGTCCATTTAAACTGAAGCATATCACTCCAATCGGGCAAAAAGGAGCTCAGAGACCACAGTAATGGGCACATTACAAATTTGATCAGATTAGACAGATGGCAGCCGATTTTACAAGCATATTTTTACAAGTTTTATTTGGAAGAGAGCAACCAAATGAAATAAATGATTGGTAACAGAGGAATACTAAGATCCAAGTCAGCCTGTTCTGGAGTTGGTTTTATCTGCCACTTTGTGTTCATTATAGGAACAGTTAAGCTTTATTTATTAGATTTTGCTTTGCAATAAACTGTTTTGCAATTGCGAAATAAAGCATTATGCAGAAAGAGGAAGTTCCAGAACATGTTCAATGCGTAAGCTATTTACTTTAAAAAAAAATCACAGAAGTCTATTTTGAGAAAGTTCTGTTCAAATGGGATGTTATAATGCTACTTCCCACCAAGATATGAGGAGAATGATGTTGGCACTCCCAGCTAGAGTAAAAAGCTGCTGTTGGATCATTTATTCCAACCCCTTATGTGCCACTGTAGAAAAGTATTCATAGAGAACTAACAGGGATTCCATTGAAACATGTCTATACTTGTTTCTGTTACTTCCACATATTCCCTTGGCAGGTTACTCCACTGTCAAATTAATCTGGGTAGTATAAAATGTTAGTTAGATTTATCTTGGACAAATTTAGCGCTCTTAATCCCCACAGCCAAGAACTAAACAACACTCTGGTACTTTAAGATGTACACTGAAAAGTGATATTCACATGGGGTAAACTGCAGAGACGCCCCAGGCACTTTATACCAGAGATTAATTTGGTCCCATTCAATCCACTTATTCCCTCTGTGCCTAATTCTGTGCTGATTTACACCCCCTGTAAGACCATTAATTTCAATGAGTCCAAATCAATCCAAACTTGACTCTCTATTCTATTTCACATATCTACAAAGTTCCCTTGCAACATTTTTCAGTATGGGAGGAATGGACCTGGACCCCTTGTCTCTTGTCCAAGTCTTGTCTCCTGGTTGGTCCTACAGCTTCTCTCCTTGTGTTTTCCCACAGCAGCTTCATGGCAATTCAACTGAGAGAGGACACATCTGTCCAAGTCATTTGACTGAGACCCCAGCTATGTATACACCACAGAGCGTATGCTGCTAATGAGACGCTCTAAGCTGATGGGAGAGAGCCCTCTCTCTCGTCTACTTAATTACTCCAGCCCCTGCGAGCGGCAGCTATGTCGGAGGGATAGGTATAGCCATGCAATGTACGTTCCCAGTGTCCTTGCTAACATGTATGAAAACTATGAACAGCCGTGTCTTCACTAACATTTTACCCTGTGATAGCTTACACAAAAAAGGAAAACACCTTATTCCTGGGCCTGGTCTACACTTGACATTATCAGTATATCAATATCAGTCAAGGGTGTAAAAAAACCCACACCTCCTAGAAACATAGCTATGCTGATAAAACCCCCAGTGTAGACGCAGATATATGGAAGTTTGAAGTGGTGGTGTTCTATCCCAGCAGAACTCCTCCTTCGATCGGTGCACATTGTGCATACACTAGGAGGCTAAGCCAGCATAGCTAGGCCACTGTAGCTACGTCAGCACAGGCTATGTGGTATAGACACAGCCCTAGAGTGGTTGCACACCCAGTACAAAAACATGTTAACAATGATTAATAGTGATCTTACAAATGCTTAACTACCTATCTCCAAGACTGCATTTCAGAGAGATAGTTGTCTAGTTGTATCAAGTTTTAGTCAGGCCTCTTGTTAAAATCCTCCAAGCAATTTGGCTTTCTTCAGGAAATATGCACAAGTCCCCAGACCCTCCATTGCAGGAGGGAATAACTTATACCAAGTCCATGTCACCTCCTACCAACAATGGGTTTGAGACCAAACAATTCATAGTCTCATACCATTGCTAAGCTAGCCTCAACTTCAGCACCAGAGATATTAATCCAATTGCTTGAATTACTCAACAGCGCAACACACTGAGGAAAGATGGTCTCGTGGTTAAGGCACTGGAATGGGACACGAGATCTAGATCTTGTTCCTGGCTCTGCCACAGACCATCTGCGCATGCTTGGGCAAGTTACTTAATCTCTCTTTCTCCTACCCTTTATCTCATAGACTTTAAGGTCAGAAGGGACCATCATGATCATCTAGTCTGACTTCCTGCACACTGCAGGCCACAGAGCCTCACCCACCTGTGTGGTCTATTTAGACTCTAAGATCTTCAGGATGGGGATGTTACATGTTTTGGTACTGGCCGAGTTCCCTCATTGTGGTCAGATACACCCAATCTTTGGATCCCACATATTTTCAAGCCTACTGGGTCTGATCAGCATCTAGACACTGCATCTAAATATGGCCTCTATAATCCCAGGGTGCTGAACCCCTGTCTAATACTCCTTTACAGAATGTGGGGCCCCACAGCCCTAGACTCTGAGGCCAGTGTAGACCCCCTCCCCGAGGTCTGTCCAGTAGGTCCACTTTCGTGGGTATTCTGGTTTACAGTTTAACTCTTTGGGGACTATGACAGTTAAAGCAAGGAACACACAGCCTTTTTAAAGGAACTTCATAATCGGACATACTTTACTCAGTCAAGCACAAGAATTACATATCTAGGGGTGAAAAAACAACAAACATCTGAACGCAAGACCCTCCCTCCATTTCCTCATCTGTCCTGAGAGCCCTTTGGGTCTTGGTCAGCATTCTTCAGAGAGTCCAGGACTGTCCAGTACCCCACTCCTCTTGCTCACCACTCTTTTCCTCCTGGGGAGTCTCCCAGTTTGCTAAAGAGTGAGTGCCTTTTTAAAAGCAGTTTTTAACACCATGTCTCCTTCAGCCTTTTCCATTCTGTCCACCCCCCACGCTGTTGGCAGAGATGCCCATTACGGTGGATAAGAGTCATGAGCAGGGCCCAATAAAGTCACGGTCCATTTTGGGCAATTTCACGGTCATAGGGATTTTAAAATAGTAAATTTCATGATTTCAGCTATTTAAATCTGAAATTTCACAGTGTTGTAAATGTAGGGGTCCTGACGCAAAAAGGAGTGTGTGTGTGTGTGTGTGGGGGCGGTTGCAAGGTTATTGTAGGAGGTGTTGTGGTACTACTACCTTTACTGCAGCGGCGCTGCCTTCAGAGCTGGGCAGCTGGAGAGTGGCAGCTGCTGGACGGAAGCCCAGCTATGAAGGCAGAGCCACCGCCAGCAGCAGCACAGAAGTAAGGATGGCAGGATACAGTATTGCCACCCTTACTTCTGCGCTGCTGCCTGCAGAGCTGGGCCCTCAATAAGCAGCCGCCGCTCTCTGGCTGCCCAGCTCTGAAGGCAGCGCAGAATAAAGGGTGGCAATACTGTGACCCCCCTAAAATAATCTTGTGACCTGCCTGCAACTCCCTTTTGGGTCAGGACCCTCAATTTGAGAAACGCTGGTCTCCCCCGTGAAATCTCTATAGTATAGAGTAAAAGCACACAAAAGACCAGATTTCACGGGGGGAGACCAGATTTCACAATCTGTGATGCGTTCTTCGTGGCCGTGACTTTGGTAGGGCCCTAGTCATAAGTCTTTGATAGTAGTTTCCCTTGCTAGAGCAAAGCTATTCAATTTCTGGTGGTTCTTAATGTCCGTTATTCATGATCAGACACCTAGATATCAGCGCCTCTCCCCAGCACAAGAGGGATGATGCAATCTAACATTAGCAATATACAGTATAGCATGCGATCAAGGTGACTCAAAATGGAGATTGACATACAATATGCTTTTTCACAAAATCAGCCTGGGCATACTAACATAACCCCTCAAACTATCATAATCTTGTGTGTATGTGCAGCACCTAGCACAATGGGACCTTAATCTTGGCTGAGGCCTCTAGTCATCAATGTAATGCAAATAATACAATACTGCCACCTCCTTGGACTTTGACACTGCAGTTACATTACGATGTTTACAGTTTGTGCAACAGTGGTGTTGAGGCTTAGTTAATTTTCACAGAGCACTGTAAGATCCTGGCATGAAATTTACTGTGAAATGCAAAGTATTATTTAAACTTCTATTTGTTAATTTTTTTCTGCACAAGGGTCTTCAGGCTTACTGGGTGGAATTTTTAAATGTGTACAACTCCCACTGACTTTAAATTGGTATTGGGCATCTATATCCCTAGCACCCTTTGGAAAAATCCCACCCACTGATATAAGGCCAGTGTGAGAAAAGGGGTAGTAGTAGGGAAATACTAATAAAATGTGACAGACACTTCTGGGTGGCTCAAGGAGAGGTCAAATGATAAACAAGTCCTAGCATGCCCCCAAACTCTCTATGCTCGTAGACTA